CTATTGTTATTATTAGCAGTAGCAGAAATGTTTGATTCTTTGCTGTGTTCAAGAGTAAACACATGTCACCGTCTAATACCTGTCCGAATAACCATTCCAGTATGCAGTCATGAATGGGTTTACATTATTTATACTGCAGTTTAATAGCAAATAATGAACAAACAAAACACTCACCACACTGAGTGGTGGGAGGGCTGGCTGCCAGTTGTGGGGGTAGGAGGGAGGGTAGTAGGGACTCGCAGGTGGCGGGAAACTTGAATATGATTTGGCGGCTGGGAATTTGGCGGTTGGGAATTCGCGAATGTGTGAAGCCCGCGAAAGCTGAAAACGTGAATGTTGAGGGAGACCTGTACTTTCAGTTTCCCAGGAACTGTATGATCCTTACAGGTTTAGTCCTACCCCATGAATACAATGAAACTTTGATTTAATGACCCTCCATTTAATAGATTTCAGAAAGAACACAAAATTTGGGTAAATTTTTTTTTCTTATAGTACTTCATGAAGCAGCCAGTATGTAGCAACTCAGTTTGTTATTGCCTTTGTATTCTGAAGAAGAGTTATCATTCCCCCTCTATTCTTTCCTGGATTAATTGTGTTTATCTATACTTTATTATAATATAAATTACATTGTGATTAACCATGGCCTCTAAAGCAAGTGCTGGTGTTAAGAGGAAGAAACCAAAAATGTCAGTTGTACAGATTTGGTTGATCTCGCCATCTGCACTGACATTTCAGAAGAGAGATATGTGCAGCTCTATTATGAGCACTTTCACGCTGTTAGAGAAATTTTCGTCAGAGAGCAGCATCAACCACCCAGAAGGCAGCCAGCAGTTGCACAGCTCTTCTGACTTAAAATAAGTTATTCTGTATCAAAACAATCTCATATATCCACCACAAACAGGCAAGTACTCTTACTTTCAATGTTTATTTGTAAACTGTGTCCATGGTACTGTACCATGTATACTGTATAGTGCTTTATTTTGCCATTCAAAATTACAGGACAATTGGCATTATTGGACACCATCTCTGTGTGGGATTTTGGGCAAGATGAGTACGTAATTACATATTATAATAAAAGGACTCACTGTGTTGTCAGATACTCATCTTTGCTGATGACAGCTCAAAACACCTGCAGCCTCTACCAGGGTTTTCCTTCAACATTTGCTGTTTTAGTACATACCATGGCTAAAAGGAAGGTGATTATAACTAGGGTTAATACATGCCCTGCTGACACGTGTTATCAGCATATCAGGTATAATACCTGGAAGTTGTGAGCAACCCTTACTTGTGTTTTGGGCTTGGCCTGCTCATCACAGCCTTGAATGGTTAGGGCTATTCATCTAACATTGACCCTAACCACTGCAGTGGAATTAGGAGAATATCCAGTAAAATAGACTTACCTGGCTCATTGTAACAGGAGCTGGTGACATTACGTCAAAGGGACTGCTATCGACGGCTTGAGACACGTAGTGACGTCATGGAGTCTTCACATGTGACGAAGTGGCCGGGTAGCATTAGGCCACTTTGTCACATGTTCATTGGCTGAAATCAAACTGCAATCCGCCTGTTGCAACCTCCACCCTCCTTTCATGGGCGTTTATCTGCTGACATGATGTCTACAGGCTGGATGCCTGTATAACTCAGTTGAATCAAGTAGTGTGGATTACTTGAGTCTGAGATGCTGGCTGAGAATAATAATCCCCCCTAGAAATATTATCATCTTCAAGGCATATATTTTTTATATTAAATAGCCTGGGAAAACAGAAGTTTCCTCAGACAAACACAGAAACTCCCGTAAGAGTGTAAAATTCTGCTGGACACACGTAAATATTCGGTGTTGATTATATCTGCTATCCCATTAGACGGGGTCTGATTTTGCAGGGTCAGAAACATATGTTAAAATAAATGGGCATCTTTGCTATGCACTAATTGAAGCTATGTAGCAAAACACAAGACCTTACTTTATCTCTGCTAGTGCAAAGAGAACAGAGCATGACCCCTTTCATGCTCACTTCTGTTCTCCAGTGTGGGAAAGTAGAGAGAGGGGTTTTAGCTCCCTTGAGAAAGATAGCACCCCCCCATAGGGTAGGAGAAAATTTCCACAATCTCCCCTCTATTGATATGTTAAATCCACATTTACTGTATATCAATAATATACTGCAAACACAATTACAAGATTTATACGTATAATGCTACACAACATGAGTCAGTAGTCAGTTTACATTAATGGAGGTATAAATTAAAAACAGTGATATCATTCATTTTATTTCAGTATTGTTTCGCACTGACTCGTTTCAAGAATTTGCCAGGGCCTCAGCATGACTTGCCTCATTAAGGTTTACATGATGAAGCCAAGGCGAGCTAGCCACCGAGCCTATGTGGGAACGTTACGCAACTTATCCCTCTTCTGTCTTTGCTAGCCATCTCATAGATTTTGATTCATATAAACTATTTTGATTTTTAAACCATAATTTTTTCAATATACATACATCATTTTCATATACTGTACATCATGATACTGCATACATACATTATATATATATATATATATATATATATATATATATATATATATATATATTATATATATATATACATTATATATATATATATATATATATATATATATATATATATATATTATATATGTAGTACACACACACACACACACACACACATATATACAGTGGTACCTCAGAATACATCCTTAACTTATACCAAACAGGACATATACCAAATTAATTTTCCCCCCATAAGAAATACAGGGAAAACGATTAATCCGTTCTCACGAAAAAAAAAAAATCCTATTATTATTGGCATATTATACATTGATAGGGTTGTATAAAATAATTTAAACATTGCTTAATACTAAAATATGTAATTTAAACATTGTTTAATACTAATATACATACATGTACATAAATATAAAAGAATTAGATGAAATAAATGCAAATTTAACCTCGCTTTACTTTGCTGAAAAGAGTCAAGTGCCTACTAGGATAGTGCTGAGAAGGGAGGAGGAGGAGGAAATGTTATTATTAGGAAGGAGAATACCCTTCTCTTTTCTGTCTCTTTTCCCTATTTGGACCTGGTTGAAGCTCACCAGGTTTGACTTTTACTAAAAATCTGTCCAAAGAACTTTGCTTCTGCCTTCTCCTCAAGAAGTTTTGAAAATGTGACATTGTCTGGCCATTCCAGACAATGCTATTACGGCTTATTTGGGCTTTGTTGGGGTGGTACTTCTCTGCAAAGTTTTTGACGCCCATCCATTTGGCAAAGATTTCCTTGATTAATGAAGTAGGGGCTTCCTCTATCTCCTCTTCTGAGCCTGAAGAGAGTGCATCCATCTTAAGTCTTGTACTCCTCCTCAAGTTCCTGCAGCTCCTCAGTGATCAGCTCTTCCCTATGCCCCTCCACTAACTGCTCCACATCACCATCAATCACATCCAGACTCACGGACCTGCCCAGAGAGAGAATATCCTCCACTACAGACACTGCCTCAAAGCCCTCAAAGTCCCTTTCAGCCACTGCTTCTGGCCACAAATTTCTCCAAGGAGAGTTCATTGTTCTGCATGAAACTTCCTGCCAGGCTTTGTGAATGAGAGATGCAATGGGCAATAATAAAGTAATCGTTCCAAAACTCTCTCAGGGTTAACTCTCTGTCAGAGCTCATTTCAAAGAACCTCTGGAATAGTGCTTTAGTGTAGAGTTTCTTGAAATTACTGATGACCTGCTGATCCATGAGCTGAATGAGAGGAGTTGTGTTAGGGGGGAGAAACTTTGCAGTCCTCTTCTTAAAATTATCAAACCAGTCATGGCTAGCTTTAAACACCACTTTCTTGGCTCGTTCCTGCCTTGTTTTTCAAAAGATCGGCATGCATCAGTTTTGCGTTTTTGCAAATCATTGCCTTAGATACACTATTGCCAGCACACTGTTTTCTGTTATCCACATCAGAAGCAATTTTTCAACATGCTCTAACATCCCTGATCTTTGTTTGGTAATCGATTTCACCCACTTCACAACATTAGCTGATTTAACAACATTTTTGTTTTTCACAATCATAGATACTGTTGTTCTCGTCATATGGTATGCAGCAGCCAAGTCCCGGATATGCATGCCACCTTCATTCTTTTCAACAATCTCTTTTTTGACCTCCGTGGTGATCCTAACCATTTTCTTTGTTGCTTGGCTCTTCTCATTAACTTTCTTAGAACTCATGGTTAATGAATTTACTAATAGTTTATATGAAAAAACACAAAATCACAGTTACAGCGTGGGTTGTTCACTGAATGGTAGCAACGGGTGTCCTGACGCTAGTGGGCAGTCGTGCCCGGTGGCCTGGTGGCTAAAGCTCCCGCTTCACACACGGAGGGCCCGGGTTCGATTCCCGGCGGGTGGAAACATTCGACACGTTTCCTTACACCTGTTGTCCTGTTCACCTAGCAGCAAATAGGTACCTGGGTGTTAGTCGACTGGTGTGGGTCGCATCCTGGGGGACAAGATTAAGGACCCCAATGGAAATAAGTTAGACAGTCCTCGATGACGCACTGACTTTCTTGGGTTATCCTGGGTGGCTAACCCTCCGGGGTTAAAAATCCGAACGAAATCTTATCTTATCTCTAGAGAGAGGTAAACAAGGGGTGTTGTGGCTCATTTTAACCCATACAAGTTCTAGCATGAGTTGTATTCCAAACAAAGGTTGTATACCAAGCAAAAATTTTCGCGTCCAAACAGGACACATACCAAGTTGGACTTATTCCAAAACGGACATATACCGAGGTATCACTGTGTGTATGTATGTATGCATGCATGTATATATACATGTATATATATATATATATATATATATATATATATATATATATATATATATATATATATATATATATATATATATAAATATATATATATATATAATATATATATATATAATATATATATATAATATATAATTAATATATATATATATATATATATATATATATATATATATATATATATATATATATATATATATATATATATACACACACCTACCATCCGACTTACGACCTGCTTGACTTACGACCACTCGACTTACGACCGTGTTTTTTATGCCAAATTTCTGGGAAATAAACAACAATTTGTGTTGTACACAGTGTTTATCCTAAACCTTACAGTATAAAATACAGTACTAACAACATAAAAAGTAAAGTAAAACATGAAATACCAAAATAAAACAATAAAATAAAGTCATTACAAAAATGTTTTGTTGATATTCAGTAGTAAAGTTCGACTTACGACCATTTCGACTTACGACCGGTTTCTCGGAACCGAACTCTGTCGTAAGTCGGATGGTAGGTGTATACGTATATATGTATATTATTTTTTCAACACATCAGTCTCATTTTTATCACAATGTGATGTAATGGATTACAAAGGTGATAGTTGGTAAGATTCCTGCAAGACTGTAGCAGAAAATATCTTTATCTTACAGACAGCGACATAACCAGGCAACTAACCTTACACACTAACACATAACAGAGTAACACATTGAACATAATAGAGCTGCGTGGCTTCAAAGCTTTGACTTCATTCATTAGCTAATTCATCAACTTCAACGCGAGCTACACAATGCTAATAATGAAATAGAAAGCCTTGAAGCCTGAGCAAGGAATTCATAGGCCTTTGGCCCAGAATATTATGTTCGGGTCACCCAGTTCACAACCCAACTTCAACAAGAGAAACCTGCCATATAGTACACTGTAATTAATTTCAACTATCCTCATAACTACTACTGGAAGACTTGGTTTCAGAGCTAACAGCATTGTGACCCACAGAACGACATGTCGATCATAATGTCAGTACACATACACACAAACACATACCAGATACACACATGCAGTAGTGTGAGAAAACAAACAATATCTGGAAGTGAGGAAAACAACACATCATCCAGAATGGGTAAGGATAAGGAATAGTAATAAAAAAATTAGAGTAAGCATTGAAGGGTTTGTAGTAAGTGAACATGTTGAATACTATAGGTGAATAAGCAGACAGGTGAGAAAATATGGGCCTTAAAAAATTACATTTATAAATGTTAAACTGTTTAGGAATTCCAAGAATTTAAAGACAAAAAGAGGACTGTAAGTTCATCAGTATCAGGAAAGATTTGCCAAAGGAAGACCATATTAAAATCAAGACAGACTTTATATAGAAAGGGCCAAAAAAGTTTTAATGAATGCTGAAATAAAAACTACACAAAAGCAAATTAGCAGTTGTATGGAAAATGGCAGATACAGTTTTGTTAAATGTTTCCTTTAAAGGGAGAGGGGGGTTGCCTTGATACTGGTGAAGGGCTCTTGTTTGGAGCTACCCTCCCTTTCCTCAGATTAAATCAATTACCTCCTATTTCCCAAGTGTTATATAACCCATATGGATTTAGCACTTTCCCATTAATGTTTGTCAATGCACCATCAAAAAAAGTGATAGGTAAGACCCTTTGAACTAAAGAATTCTTAATAAATATTGCCAAAACACTGGAAAAAAAATTGAGAAAAGTGGCTAAAACACTTGAGAAGAGAGAACAGTGGCAAAGACAGGATTTCTGTCTGGGTGGTGGTGGCTTAACAATCATAAGATACTGAAAAAAATCAAAGAAATCATTTTTTAAACACTCATGATGTTCAGTACATGAAACTTCTTATACTAATACTATCATGTTTTCATGGTCACTAGTCAATATTTAGCCTTTCTCTCCCTCCCATATTATTATTATTATAATCAAAAAGAAGCGCTAAGCCACACGGACTATACAGCTCTCCCTCCCATAGCTGCACCACCGAAAGAGAAAATATGTTAACTGACAAATACTATAGTTTCAGGTAGGAAATTCTGTATATCGCATCTCTTGAGCAACTAAAAAGCATTTAAATTATGCAAGCACAAAATGGTAGACAGATTGCATTCACTTATGGAATTTGAAAAAGTCTTTGTATAGTTCCTCATGAAAAATTTATTTTGAATATACAGTACTGCATTTTGAAGAAAAGTAATTGCAATGAATGTGGGATTTTATGTTTGAGAGAAAAATGCACTGCGATAAGATAAATGTCCCCACAGAATAGTGTCACTAGCGAAGTTTCATAAGGATCAATATTTGCCCAAGGTGATGTTTTTAATTTATAAAATGACTTAACATAGGGACCATTTAAAAACGTTATGCAAATTGGAAGTCAAAATTATTCTAAATTCCTACAGGGAGATTTGAATAAATTGAGTAAATGAAGTAATAAATGGATAATGGAATTTTGTAAATGCCTCATAATTGTGTAACTATAAGCAGGACTTAACAAGAAAATTAATTGTTTTATCATAAATTAAATCATAAATTATGACCTAAAGGCTACATTAGTACAATAGGTACAAGCTGATGTGTTTTAATGGTAAACTTTGTATACTGTAATCTTCAAATGGTGTGATGTAGTAAATACTGTGTGGGTTATTCTTGATCATAATGAGTGCATGTAACTGTAATATGATGTTCACACCTTAAAAAAACATGTGCAGTAGTTAAGATAAAAAATTCAGACATGCAACCAAATGGATTCTAGAGTTAAGAAATTTGATTTAAGAAGAAAGATTGAAGGTACTGCACAAACAGCATGTCTTCTGATTCATAAGTGAGCTTTTTACTGGCACTCTTTATGAGTTGTATAAATATTGGTAAAATTACCAACGAAGTTAAGTAAATGGACAGAACAACTAATGAGACTTCCTTTACTATATAGTATAGAAATCTTTAGAAATTTTTTAAAACTATTATTTTTATTATGATGTTTTAAGTATATACATGTGATTGTCCATTGTCGAAGCTAGTACGTTGTATTTTGACTTATTCGTATGCTGGATTCTTAAACAAATATATTGAAAACTAACATACATTAGTATGTTGCAGCTGGATACATCCTCAATGGAGGACAGGCTGGGAGGTGCCAATGGGGGATTGGGGGCTTCAACCTCCCAATAATTCTCCTTGCCTCCCAAATAAAAATAGCAATAATAATGCTGCTTCAAAACAGGTCTCTGTATGACCATTAGGGTTTAGTGCTTTAATTACTGATAAGTGCCCCTCTCCTCAGTACATAAATTTTGGTGCTGCCCCTAAGACAGAACGAAAAAGTGACAAAATAACTGCCTTTAAAGTCTAAAAGAATACAGTAAAATAGAAAAGATTCGCAATAGAAGTGGTAGGGAGAAAATGAGGCCATTTTTTTAAATTAAGAAGTTGAGATTATTATAATTATTAATATAATCATGGGGAGCGCTAAACCTGTAGGATTATACAGTTCATATGGGGGGGAATGGAAGGTATTCAGGCTCAATTCAGGGAACTAGAGCACAGATCCAATTCCCTAGATCAAGAGCCCCTCACCAGCATCAAGGAACCTCCCTCGAGGGGTAAGAAGTTCAGAATGAATATCGGAGCATGTCACAAAAACAGTACAGTTGATAACTGGAAGGGGATCAAAGAGGTAGTATATTTCGGCTATTGAAAAATAAAATTGTACAAAAAATATGGAAGACAGTACACCATGAGCATAAGCTCTATTCCTGCAAAGAAATAAAGATACAATGCACATATACACACTGAACAGTCCTGCTCCTCCTAGTTTTAACTTCTGACATTCCCAATCAACATTACCGGTTTTATTTATAAAGTGACATAACATGTTAACTTATTTATCTTATTTATCCCGGTCAGTTTCACTTTGCGAAAGAAAACTGTGTGCTGTTAAGGCCTACTGTAAATTGTGAGTTCATTACCTCTGTAACTTGCTCAGCTATCAAAACTTTGGAGTCCAGTCCCTGGACCAATTATGTACCTCTGTAATCTTTTGACTACCGCCCACAGGATGGGTATGGGGTGCATAATAAACATATTAAACTAAGGCCTACTGACTGCAGAGGTTGCATTCACCTGAACCTAGATGTTAGTAGTAAGGGACCACCAGATGAAAGACAAAGTTGCCAACATCCACATAAATATGTAAAAGGAAGCAACTACATCTCAGTTTTTCGGCTTTAAAGAAGTTCTTTTTTAGGTATAAAGCCAATCAACTTCATGCGGGTTATTAAAGTTGCACTTCACCTGTACACTAAGTCAAAGAAATTCATTAATAACAGAGATTAAAGCAAATTTACACTGTCCTGTAGTTTATACACAGGGATACAAACAAGTGTTGCTATACATATTTTGATTTAAAGAAGTAAGTGTGTCAACAAGGGTTGTGTTCGTTTGTTGGCGTTTACAGATGTCCTTGGTAACTGAGGGAGCAACGAACAAGTGTGTTAAATGGGCTGGATAAGAAAGTTTGGATGTTGCTGCTGCTGCCAGGTCAGAGAGGGTAACTAGTTGAACAATGAAAGGGCTGAGGAGCAGTCCAGGCGGGATTGCCAATATGATATATACGAGACGGTTGATGAAATAGGCGGTCAGCCAATCTGCTTCGGAGGATTTGAATGGTCTTCAATGAAGCACTGTCGGCTCACTGAATTAGTCACCGAGTTAATGATTTCTTCCATTTCCTTTAAGCAATATGTCCCCTACAAGCTAAGCGCTCTCTCTTGAATATTATCACTAATAATACCAAAGTAATGCAAATTTCGAAGTAATTTAAATAGCTTCAAGGTCAAATCTAAAGATTTCTCTTGGCGCATATTTTTTTTGTTAAACAGTAATAATAATAATGAAAGTTATGGTACTGGAGGATAGGATGAATGTTAGGTAACAGGATGAATGCTGAAGGACAGTAGTGCTAGAGAAGGGTAGCAGTGCTGGACGACAGCCAACCACACTAACATCCTAGCAGTAGACACACTCTGCCAGTATCGATCTCTCACTGGCAGAGTAACCGGTGTCGCCGCTATGATCCCACACCAGATTTACTCTTGGAGCTACCCTCCCTTCCCTTGGTCAAACCTCACTGCTTCCTATTCCCCAGGCACGTAACGGCTTCTACTGATTCAGCACTTCCCCATGAATATAAAATTTTAGATAATCCATGCCAGTAATTGATTTACCACATACGAGGTGCAAGTTTACAATAATGCTCTGGGAATGCAGTAACTAAGGATGACAAATTGGCTCACTGGTCTCATGACTGGGTTAATCCCATTGATCACTAGGCTTGAGCCTCGATTTAAGACCTCGGGTTCTAGATGGGGGCGATGTCTGCACAAGGAAAAATGTCTTTACGCTAGTCCTAGTTAAATGATGATCTGCTGAGTGGTGTACGCAACTACCGATGTACCAGAGCTGGGTTTGCACCCCACTAAAAACGCGAAGGATCACACACAAGGCTTTCAGGTGCTAGATTAAGAACAGTGATTAGTCAGTGCAACGCAGTTCAAAATAACACCTCAGCTATTAAAAAAAATGGGGTTAGAAATTGGAGTGAGTTGTATAACATACACACGTATGTGTGTGTGTGTTATGCAACAAATACAAGAATTAAGTGAATCACTGATGTAAGACTTCCTTCTGCTTCCTTGTTTCACCAAGTTAACCTTTCCAAAGGATCAACCTTCAAGGGGAGGGGAAGGGGTGCCCTGTGCCCGGTAAAGGGATCTTGATCTAGGAAACTAGAGCTATCCCTCCCTTTCGTTGGATCAAACTTGATAACCCCCATACCCCAAGAGAGATAAAACCACTATGGGTTTAATGTTTCACTATGAAAGTAAAACTCATTAAGCTCAGTTGTTTTGTCCCCTTTCTTGTCTCTGGTATCTTTCTGGATCATCCAGCGTGCAAGGTATAACAACTTCATGTAATTACCTGCAAGACAAACTTAATAAAAAAATGCAGTATAGGGGGTTACTTTGATAGATCGACCTTTGATATTCATTTTATAATTTGTTTCTGTCATTTCTAATGCCACCCACCGTTCCCGTGAGTTATATGACATGTCCGCCTGTCTATCTGTCTGTCTGCACCTCCTTCCCGGAATGTCTCAGTGATACAGCATTACTCAGAGGCTGCAATAGTGTGTATGTAACCGAGAAGTTATGTCAGGATGTATGGGACCTCCCGAAATGCGTTGCATAACTATAGGCTTTTCCCTGTATTATTGAACAATATATATTGTAATATTATGGTATGCCAAGGGAAATAAACCTGACTAAAGGCATCTCAAGAAATACATGTTTTGAGAAAAACAACCTCAAGTGCACCAAGCGAGTGATCTCTCAAGGGTAATACTCATAAACTAGACAATTTTAGTATTGGCATTTGACAATGTTTTGAAACTTCTGTAGATTATTTTGAAAGCATACAGCCAGCTTTTTTGGAGTAATGGTTTATAAATATGATTAATTTGACGAATTGTTTGAATAAAGTACTGCAAGATTCTTTACAAGGTTATAAAGGAATGCAGGTATGTTAATACCCAAGTACAATAGAGCCACTGGTGGGGGGGGGGGGGAGAGGCTATCATGTAACCAAGACCCACGTAAATTTCATATTCCTTGAAGAATAAACTGCTTCCACAACCACCAACGATATTTTTCCATATCACTGTCTCCTGTTCATCACTGTTTTCACACCCTCACGTCTCCTGTACATTACCGATACACACTGTCTCCTGTATATCGTCTCACTGTCTCCAGTCCACCGTCACTGTCTCCTGTACATCATCACTGTTTCCTGTTATTACCGTTACACTGTCTCCTGCACATCATCACTGTTTCCTGTTATTACCGTTACAGTCTCCTGTTATAACCGTTACACTGTCTCTTGTTATCACCGTTACACTCTTGTTATCACCGTTACACTGTTTCTTATCACCGTTACACTGTCTTTTGTTATCACCGTTACACTGTCTCCTGTCCGTCACTATCACATTGCCTCCTGTCCGTCACCGTCACACTGTCTCCTGTCATCACATTGCCTCCTGTCCGTCACCGTCACACTGTCTCCTGTCATCACCGTTACACTTTCCTATTTCTGTCGTCACTGACAAACATAAACAATAAAAGAGTTGCAACATTCTGGGGATGATATCCGTCTCTCTGCTGCCTATATTGATTTTTAGCATCTTCCTTCCCCTTTGTCCTTCTTCCCCCTACCCTTCTCTTCCCCTCCCTTGTCCTCCTCATCCCTCCTTGTGCCCCTTTGTCCTCATCCCTCCTTGTGCCCCTTTGTCCTCATCCCTCTGTCCTCGTCCCGCCTGTCCTCTTTCCCCTTATTCTCCATTTCCCCTTGTCTTCGTCCCTCGTTCTCGTCCTCTTTGCTCTCCTTTCCCTGTCTATCTCCCTGTCTTCTACTCCTCACTCTCTTCGCTTATCGTCTTCCCTCTCCTCCAGTTTTCCCTTCTCCTTGTTCCTTTGATTTTTAACCGTGTCCTTGGTTGCTAGATGTACCTATTGTTGCACAAATAACCCGCACTTAGGAGACTCAAACTTACAATGACGTTCCGGCCCGGCTTCGACTATTAATAAGTCACACCGTGTGACTTGTTAATGGTCCAAGTCGGATCAAAATGTGCGGGTATTTCGTGCATTTTTCCAGCCATGATATTGTTCTTTTTCTTTCTGTACCTGTTGTTATTTCTGTCTTTGTAATTGGCAACTGTATTATGTATTTCTGTTTCTACTTATTAAATGGATTGACATATGAATAGAATGCATGTGCTTGTTTCCATTGTGGTGCTTTATGAGTCTTGTGAAAGATCTCCACACATTGGCTGACTGCCTTCCATTTACCAGTCGGTACATAACTCCTATGGTTTAGCGCTTCCTCGTGTTGCTGACTTGCCCCAGCTAAGGATTTAAAATAACGTTATTTCTACAGTATGTGGCTGGATGAACCTTTTTATGAAGAAGGAAGATAAGGAGGAAGGACTAAAAGAAACAAGAAGGGTAGAAATGGAAATGATAGAGAAGGGTGTTGTGGAAAATACTGTATATATTTTCCAGAAATTCAGTATTTATATGTATGTAGATGGCCATACTGTATTTAATAACATTTATGTCAGAAAATGGGAAACTGAGCCTGGGGAGAAGGGACAGTCGCCATTGTTAATTTGAATTGGATACAACATTAGTGTAATGGGAAGGAATTTTCATACTCTAGAGCAGTGGTTCCCAAACTGGGGGTAAATTACCCCCTGGGGGTAATTTAACCATTTTTGGGGGGTAATGGAGGGGTGACAGAAAAAAAGTTATGAATTCTGAAAATCAAGAAAACAATGCGGTACCCGGTATGAGGATTATTGTTAACTTTGTCTTAGTATATAAAGTTGTAAAGTAAACCTATTATAAGTAAGTAATAAAGTTAAACCAAATAACAATAAACATCAAAAACTAATATACAGTATTAGAAAAGAAGAAATATATAGCTAAGTGTGTGGAAACCCAAAAGTATTTTGACAAGTATGCTTCAGGACAAAAGTCACGCAGTAGCCCAGATCGACCTGTCCAGTACGCGTCACTCACTTCCTGAGGCTGCCTCTATTTCACACTGTCAGTTTATCTGTGAGCATCAGCCGAGGTAGACATAAGCTGGTATGAAGCCAAGAATTCCTAAACTAGCTTCAAGTATGCAACTCCATCCATCCCACTGATGTTCTTGACATTTTTGGTAATAGTCATTAGAGATGCACAATGTTCAAATACAATAAATAAAAGAAAATATCTCAAGTGTTTTAATTTAGCCATATATATCAATAATAACAAATTTTGTGAAAGGGGTAACATGCTTTATGTGGCATGTTAAATTGGGTAACAAGCTGAAAAAGTTTGGGAACCACTGCGTCTAGAGGTTAAAATTGGGCTGACACCTCTCAAATAGGAGGCGAAATTGTTGGATGTGCATTCCTGCATAACTTGAGATATCAGGCGACTGGACAAGACAGCTCCAGGAACCTCAGATAAGTCTTATGTTATAACTGGCCAGTTATTTTCATGTATAGACAGAGGTTTTCTGAGTATGATACACCTTGATTTCCAGTCAAATTGGTGAGTGTTATGATTAAGATATATTCTCCTTCTGTTATATAAATGTGTATTTATATATAATCATTTTTTAATTTAATATACAGTCCACAAATTTATATATTTACCAGCATTCCTGGTGTATGTATATTTCATTTAATTAATAGGTCCAGAGCAACTTGTGGATATGACAGTGGTAGGTATCGAAGGGGGACATTTTTTGCGACCTAGGTGTCCCAAATTCCTACTTGTCTAACTGATAAATAATAATTATCTATGTTCATTTATTGTTATATAAATAATGATACATTCAGATAAATGCAATTTTCCACAGGTGTATAAACGAGGAAGACCAGGAAGAGGTAAAAAAAAAAAGGTAGGAAAGTAGGAGTTAGTGGAAGAGATAAAAAGAGAAGGTGGTTGAGAGAAGAAGAGGGAACCAGGGTGCAGTGACGTCACAACATTCATCCACCATCTTAAAGTTGGTGGATGATACCATCTACCCATCCCCCTTACCCCCCTATCCCTTCATTCACGATGGTCTCAGAAATCATTTTTGTAACTGGCATTCCCACAAAATTTAATTCTTTACAATCAGATTATTGAATGTGAGGGATTCTGAAAGTCTGTGGCCAATCACAGTTACTAGGTTAGAGGGTAGATGGTTTAGCATTTATGATTGTTTAGTATCTGTCTTAGCTACAACAAAAGCTCTATTTCTGTTATCCAAATTTTAACGAGAGCACAATGTTACATTCAACTTTTTTAATTTAATTACACGATACTGTGTAAAACTGAAAAGTAAGGCTTAAGAAAAGACAGGTACAGAGTAAGCTTTTCCAACAACATTTCGCAGTATGTAGAGCTTCATGTCATTGGCTTAATAAAACTCTAGAGAAAGACGCTGTCACAATATAAAACTTTTTTCATTACTGTCAGCAGTATGCTGCTACATCCATGAAGCAAGACTGTTACAGCACTGGACACACACACACACACACACACACACACACACACACACACACACACACACACACACACACACACACACACACACACACACACACACACACACTCACACTCACCTCAACGCTCCACTGATATATACACAAAACATTACGCTGAAAAATGGAAGACATTATTACCATGCTTATCACGGCATCTGGGACCTGTGACATCACAAATGAGGTGTAGATTGCGTGGTTGGTGGTGGTGATGGGGACGGCGGCGGTGGTAAGTGGTAGTTGTGGATGGAAGGTCGTTCTTAATGTAGGCACAGAGGGTAGAATTGAGAAGCCAATAACATTTTATCAGTTCTTACGACACTCACGTTAGTAGTTTATCATTATTTCCATATCATTAAAGCTTAATGGAACAAGACTCTAGGCCTTCAACATAGGCCCCTCAATAAAGAGCCCTACACACAGGTCCCTTTATGAAGGGTCTTCAACACAGAACCTTACACTTAAGACTCTCAACAGACGCCCTTAACACTGTTCTCCGCGCCACCAAGCCACTACTAGTAAGCCACTCGCATGGCTTCCCGCGTCCGCCACACACCAGCAACGACCAGCAAGATCGTACAAGCCACGGTTTGATTCCATCACAGTCCTTAACACCTGTTTCTTAGACGCACTTTTGTCCTACATCTGCAAATGTCCTACACTTGTATCTTCGACACGTTTGTGCCCTAAACTAATAGTCGACACAGACTTGCCAACCTTGATCACTGTAATTGGAAGACTTGGTTACCGTTCAGGTAAATGCTGAGAACATGGGAACAATTCCCTGGAAGACACGATAGACCTGACGTGGGCCAGGCAATGACTGCAGGTGCTGGTCCCGAAGCCAAGGTGTCGGTATCCCTGGCTCAGAACGATACTGCACATGCTGTACTGATACAAGGCTAATATGCATGCTGACGTGCATGGGGAACTGGCACGCAGCATTCTAGTACTGCTGTTGAAGGCCGCCTCAACACCGCTGTTATGCTGCTATTTTTTCTGATTGATTATTGCTTCATAAACTCATATTAATTCTAACATTTTCAGTAATTTTGTCAACGTGATGCAGATATACACATTTATGAAAAGATTCATAGCATGGCAGGTGCCAGTTTGTCGTATAAGATTCCACTGTAAAACTTGTTTGACTGGAAGAATATCGAATTCAGTATTTGATGTTGAGCACTAGAAAGGTAGACCAATCTGGAAGGCCTCGACCAGGGCGTAGAAGGAGGTGGTAATTCCTATTATACCAAAAAGAAAGCCTAAGAATATTACAAAGTAGTCATAGGCAATGTCTCCCCACTCCAGCTTGCCGGCCTTGATTTTAAGATGGAAGTAACACGGCCAAATGAAAGACAACATGGTACCTGTGAAGGAGCCGATCAGGCCCATTAGGATAGCAAAGTGTGGGATGAAAATGGCCATCAGAATGGTGAAGACTACAACCAAGACCCTGATGGCCAAAGCCCACACCTTGAGTTCCCCGTCGAGCGCCCACACGGAGGGAAACGTTGTCTTGGGCCGCCCACGAAAGAAGGTAACCTCGATGATCTCGACTGCGGCGTAGTATGGAAGTGGGTATGACAACAAAGCTTTCACTACCAGGATAAGATTGACGAAACCTTTGAAAGTTGGGTTTGGGAGATTGTTGGTGATGACCTCCTCGGTATCTTCAGCCCAGGTCAAGAACCCGACGTACCCAAACAGCGCTTTGAAGACGGCGGCTGCAATGTGACTCCAGTTCAGCATGCATGTGAACTTTGACCTGTCGATGAGATTGTACTCTAGCGTGGGCAAGAAGATGTGTGACGTGTAGCTGAAGACGATGATCCCCAGGGCAATTGGGAATTCAAGGAGATCTATACGGAACATGACTTTAGACCAGGCCCAGGTGGAGGCATTGCCAATGCAGTAGGCGAAAATGATGATGTTGATGGCTAAATGAGCAATCATGCACCAAAAAGAGAGCGTGGAGACGTGATGGAGGTTCTTGAGGAAGCCGCACGGAAGAAGGATCATGCCACAGAGCATCATCCAGGAGCGAGCATCGATGGGACCGTCAGGGAAGCTGCCAATCATCAGGTCCCCGCACAACACTAAATACAGGATGCAAGTCATCAGCAGCTCGATCAGCTAATGGAACAACAACAAAATTAGTCACTGAGTTCAAATTATTTCAGAATGTTTCATTATTATTATTATTATTACTATTATTATTAGTAGCAGTAACATTAATAATAATAATAATAATATTATTGAATTTTTACCACAGTGACCCTAACATGGAAATATTCACCATCTTTTAATAACTGTCTTGCCAAGAAAGACTAATAATATATTATATAGTGATTACTTTTACAGAAAATTCATTAGGTCATCTAAGCGGATAAGTAAGTCCATTATTAATTCATTTCTCTGGATGATTGAGCCATACATAAACACCATATTATATTATAATATGGTGTTTATGTATATTATATATTAACATTTTAGTCTTATAGTGATGATAATGTATACGCAAGTAATTTGTATAATATATAAACAGTGGGAATTTCAAAATATTAATTTACTGGAAATAAAATTAAGCATATTTAATAACAAGATTGTTAAGAGTCTACGGCATCAACACATTGATATTCCTTATTTTCATGTAATTTTATGATGCTTTTTCAAGTTAATTTCAGGGGATATACACCGAGAGGTGTACATCTTTCGGTGTATATACACTGAGAGGTCATCTGAATTCCCTTTAAAGGGATTAAACCATTCTTGATTGGTGGTGAAATGGTTACATGCAGCCTTAATGACCCTCGCGTGGCTGACAGGCTTTAAACTTCATTAACCATTAACCAGAACGTTGCCAAAATAATGTTCTGTTGCTTTTTGTTAAATGCCAAATAATTGTTTAATAAAAAAAATACCGTCTGCACTCCTGTTTCCCTTATAGGAGTATCACCACATTTCATTACATATTTCCTGAAGGCCACGATAGCAATGCGTCAGGTTCAAGGATCATTGGTATCATTAATATTAAGTAGTATTAATGCAGACTGTATTAGCGTATTGATGGATCAGGTGTTAGTTTGTTAGATTCATGGTCTTCATACTGCACCTGGGTCATCAAGCCACAATTTACCAATCTGCTAACATCAAGACCCTAATCCCTTAACGGTGCCCCGTGACCTGGTGGCAAAATCTTTCGCTTCACACGGCGAGGGTCCGGGTTCGATTCCCGGCGAAGGGGTGGAAACATTGGACGTGTTTCCTTACATGGGTTGTCTATGTTCACCCATCAGTAAAATGGGTACCTGGGTGTTAGTGAACTGGTGTGGGTCGCATCCTGGGACAAAATTGACCTAATTTGCCCGAAATGCTCAGCATAACAAGCAGCTTTCTATATAGTAGTTTGTCATCAATGTCAGCTATGGTCTGTATACCTTGTACATGTACTTGTAGTAAATAAAGATATTATATTATTAAAAATTATTAGCAAAGCTCAGTTTATATAAACGAGATATACACCTCTCCGTATACTTAGTCTACAATATGTAGTTGAAAATAATCAGTGAACATACGTCCACATTCAGGTTTATAATACAATCAGTGAACATACGTCCACATTCAGGTTTATCATTTTTTTAACACCGGCCATGACCCTTGTCGGTTTAGCGCTTTCTCTGATTATCATAACACCGGACGTATCCCGCCGAGGCAGGGTGATCTAAAAAGAAAAAGGTTTTTTTCTTTTTAAATTTAGTGATATAAACATTATTTATTCAAAGTGCTCTCATTGCAGTGAAGTATATATACATATATATACATATCATTTACCAAACTGCGGCAGGCCAGGACTCGACCCTACGAACCTTGTACCGCCTCCAGAGACAGCACAATGCATGCATCACCTTACCACTACGCCACTGTAGGATCAGTGGCGTAGTGGTAAGGTGATGTGTACATTGTGTTGTCTCTGGAGGCGGTACAAGATTCGTAGGGTCGAGTCCTGGCCTGCTGCAGTTTGGTAAATGATTTAAAATCACTTGTTTCGTGATTTCATTGCTATAAAATTCATATCAAATTATATCCATGTGGGGAAATTCTGCTACAATTACTCCATCCTTCCCCTGGATGGGTCAGTCGGTTAAAAGATTCTTATTATGTGTGTTATTTTTAAAACTACAGTAAATGTGCAATAAAAATATAATTATATGGCATTACATCAGTTGTGTAGAAATAAATCAATTTAAGTGACGGTGAATTGTCAATGAGTGTTACCATACAGCAATGTAAGATAATGATAATATTAAAAATTTTAACAAGTGATAAAGCTGTAGCCAGAATCACAATAATACAATATGGCAATATCAACAATTAGCCAAGTCTTGTTAGGTTCTATCTAGAATGAAACAGTCTGTAAATATAGGGTTAGCTCAGCACATAGTCTTTGTACCATATTTGTTGGCAAGTCTTGCCATACAACAATAATGCCTAGTATAGGAACAAGAAAAACAAGCTTCACCTGGGCAGAGTTGACAATCTTGCCTCCCCACTTCTGGCCAAACACCTCCCTGGCTATACCCTTATAGGAGGACCTCACACGGACCAGCTGCCCTTCCTCGTTAAGATCGTAGAGACAGTCGACCAAGATCTTTCCTGTATAACAGCATATGTAGGCTATCCCCACCATGGCAACTATAGCCCAGTAGCCACCGTGTAGCACAGCATATGGCAGCGAGACGATGAACATCCCCTGTATGGGAGAAGAGGAAAGGAAGGTTGAGGACTGGATTTACTGTTCGTGCTTTAAGGTAAATTCAGGTACTCTGGTAGCTGGTACATTGTAAAATGCTAGTGATCAGGTAGGTTCTCAGCATGTTTTTAAAAGCATCTGGAGTGCAGTAAGTTATGTTGGACTTATCACTTGTATTAAACTTTTATCTTACCTATATTCATGAACTACCCGTCAAATAGTTGTAATGTACTCCCCACTTCGAGAGATAATATGGTAAAAATGCAGTTCA